TACAACCTGTGATATGCAGATGACACAACCTTGCTGTTGAAAGCGAAGAGGACTTTAAGCACTGATGAAGATAACAGACTACTGATTTCAATATGGATTACAGTGCAACATAAAACAAAAATCCTCACAACTGGACCAATAAGCAATAATACCACGATAAACGGAGAAAACACTGACGTTGTCAAAGGTTTCATTTTATTTGGGTCTATAATCAATTCTGGAAGCAGTAGTCACAAAATCAAAAGACACTGCATTGGGCAATATGCTGCAAAATACTTTCTGAAGTTTTCAAAAAGATGTCACCTTGAGGACTAAGATCCAAGTGATCGTATTTTCAATAGCTTCACTTGCATGCGAAAGCTGGACAATGAAAAAGGAAAACTGAAGAATTGATTCCGTTGAGTTCTGGTGTTGTGAAGAATACTGACAGAAGAATCAATCTGTCCCGGAAGAAGTATAGCCAGAATATTCCTCAGAAGTGTGGATGATGAGACTTTGTCTCATGTACTTTGGGTATGTTATCAAGAGGGAACCAATCCCTAGAGCATGACATCATGCTGGTAAAGTAGAGGGCCAGTGAAAAAGAGGAAGACCCTCAATGGAGACGGACTGACACAGTGGCTGCAGCAATGTGCTCGAACACACCAACGATTCTGAGGATGGTCCAGGATCAGGAAGTCCTGTGAACAGGGTTGCTAAGGGGGAACAAACATGAGGGCACCTAACAACAGCAATAACAAAGGGCCAAAAAGGCTCTCTGATAATCACTTGATAGGACTTTTTTCTTTTAAAAAAAAACTAGTCCTCAGAAAGTATGACCTGAAATGTTCTAATACATGAAACTTTTCCCCAAACACAGCTTTTTATAATTATTATCACAATCATTAATTAAGGTCCTTTCCGGCATCCCAGAATCTGAGTTGGAAGGCATCTCAGAGATGACTGAATTCAAACTGTTGTGAAGGCAGAAGTCCCGCCAGTAGTATCCCTGGTAAGTGGCTGCTCAGTATCTTCTGCAGGGAATGTTTCCATTGTAAAGTGCCCAATGCTATTTTTTAGGCAGTTCTGGTTACTAAAAAGTTCCAAAGTTCTTCATTATAGTAAATGCATATACATATTCCTTCCCATATTTTCTATTTACTAATCCTTATTTTATTTTCTAGAGTTACCAGAATAAGAATCCTCCCCGACATCCCCCCTTTTTTGAAAAAAAAAAAACAAAAAAACATAGTAGTCCTTGGAATATATAAAGACAGTGACCAAATACATAATTGCAACTTGAGTGTCTAACTAAGGACCAGAAATTCTACTGGGAACTTTATATACATTTTCTTTAATCTCATGACAACTTTTATCCACATAAGTATTTTACCCCTAATTTGATAAGTGAGGAAGCTGAGAAGGTGAGAAATTTGATCTAAGGTCAGACAACTGGTTAAGTGGCAGGCTTTGAATGTGCATCCATTTGACACCAAATGTGAGAGAAAAGGGGGGAAAAAGACTCTCTTAGTTTGTTATTCTGCCTCTTTCCATGCTATTCTTAAGAAGGATCATGGGCTACTGCCTCACATCAAATTGGGTTGGGCTAACCAAAACCCAAACCAAACCTGTTGCTCTTGAATTGATTCCAACTCATCATGACCCTACAGGGCAGGGCAGAACTGCACCCCAGGGTTTCCAAGGCTTCAGATCTTCACAGAAGCAGACTGCCATATCTATCGCCCATGATCATATATGCTGGCACAGGAAATTTCCTAGTTCAACCAATTTTATATGCCCATAAAAAAAAAAAAAAAAAAAAACAACAACAACAACAACAAAAAAAAGAAATGAAGTTCACTGACCAGGTATAACTTACTCCTAATTAAACCATTCTGCCCATTACTTAACATTACTTCTCTAAGAAAACATACACTAGCCTTTTAAATTATCTATTCGGCCTAACATTAACCTAACTGGACTTTAATCTGAACAGTCAACTTTCTTTTTTTGAAAATAAGAACAATTTTTACCCACTTGTCTCATACTTTTTGCTCCCTTTTGTTTTTCAAACTTCCTGCTGCCGCCTTGCGAACTGTTTGAAATACAAATTCCTAGGGTCCAATCTTAGATCCAGTGAATTAGAGGACCTGAGGAAGTGTTGTTTGTGTTTGCCCCTTTTCCCTTTTCTTAACTTTTATTAGGAAATAATTTCAAATTTACAAATGTTGCAAAATAAAAACTGTAGAAAGATTACTTAGGTACCCGTTAGTCAGATTAATCTATTGTTAACATTTTATTCCATTTGCTTTTCATTTATTCTCTATATCACACATATATGTACTCTGTGAACTACTTGGGAATATATTACATATGTCATGGTCCTTTACCCCTAAAAAATTCAGTGTATATTTCCTAAGATTAGGAATATTCTCTTCCATAATTTTAGTTAAAAATTTTATAAATTTGCATTGATAGAATAATCTAATCTACCATCCACATCCCAATTTTATCAGCTGAATAATAATGTCCTTTATAGTATCTGTCCCCCTCTAATACAGCACATGGTCTAGGATCAATTATTGTATTTAGTTATCATTTCTCTTTAGCCTCTTTTACTCTGGAACATTTCCATAGTTATTTTTTTATCTTTTATAATATTAGTAATTTTAATGAATATAGTCCTCCACTGTTGCTGTTGTTGTTGTCAAGTCATCTCTGACTCATAGTGACCCCTCCTTGGGTTTCCAAGGCAGTATCACTATGGAAGTAGATTAATCAATCTTCCTTCTGAGGAATGGCTGTGGGTTTGAACTGCCAACCTTCTGGTTACCAGTCAAGTGCCTTAGGCACTATACCACCAGAGCTCCCAGTCCTCCACTACAATGTCTTTATTTTGTTTGCTGTTTTCCTCATGATTAGATTGAGGTTATATAGTTTCATCCAGAATACTGTTAAGAGATGCTGTATCCTTCTTAGATTATCAGACACTTTGTAAATATATTGCTCAACTTGTCTACTTCTTTGCCTTTTTAACTAATAAATGGTTAGTGGAGATACCATTTAAGTTCATGCAAATATGCTGTTCCTCAAAATTTTCTCTAGATTTAGCATTCATTGATGATTCTTGCCTAATTCTATCTTTACCATGATGGCTGTAAAATGATAATTTTCCAACTCTAGCTCTAATACCTGGGCAATCTACTTCTGTAATGTTATCGCCTCAGAAAACCAAGGAGGGGTCGTTATGAGTCGAGTCCGACTCGACAGCAGACAACAACAACAACAGAGCTCTAATCCCAGTCTACTTAATTAAATTCTACCAATTTCATATGCCTATTAAAAAATAACCCAAAAAACAAGTAAGATTTATTCATCAGTGATTGCTCACTTCTAGCAAATTCTAGAAGGCTGAAGTCACTGCGCTATTTTAAACCTAGATGAATTTTGTGAACTATGTGGAGAATATTTATCTGTTTCCTCAATGTGGTTGGAATGTGCACTGCTACACTTTTACAGTATCTTATCTTAGCCTCTACTTTGATCTTCCTGATCTCAAGCTGTCCTGCACCTATAGGTTAACAGAACTCCATGCAGCTACACCATTCACGGACATCCAGTATTATTTTATTTTTCCTCCTGATGTGTTTATAATTTTTAAACAGGGTGGAAGAGATAATGATTTGGTTTGAGGTGCCTATGGGACATCCATCTGGAGATGCCCAATAAGTAGTTGACCTTTTTTTTTTTTTTTAATTTAACTGATTTATTACATTATTTGATTATTGGTAGATTTTTTCATAGTAATTAAAGCTTCATGCTCTAAAGTCAAACTGTTGTGGTTAATTGTTGTTGAGTCTATTTCAGCTCATGGTGATCCCATATATTATACAGCAGAACTGCCCTAGTTGCCCAATGGTTAAGCACTTGGCAACTACTAACTGAAAGATTGGTGGTTCAAACTCAAGCCATTCTGCAGGAGAAAGCTGTGGCAATCTGCTTTCATAGATTATAGCCTCAGAAACCTGAGGCAGGGGCAGCTCTATTTTGTCCTATAGGATCATTATGAGTCAAAATTGACTTGACAGTAATGAATTTGGTTTTGGGGTATTTTAATCGTCATTATTATTGTTATTATTTTTAAATTCACCAAGATTTATTGAGTACCTACTATATATGTGCAAAGGCTGGAGGCAGACCCACAGGCAGTTGACTCTTGAATCTCTGTACTAGTTTCTTCATCCTTCATATGAGTATAGTATTAGCTACACCTCATAGGATTTTTATGGAGATTAAACAAGCCAATACATGCTAGGCAATTAACAAATGTTAGTTATTCTTATAATGAGCTCTGGTGGCACAGTGCCTAAGGCATTTGACTGATAACCAGAAAGTGGGCAGTTCAAACATTTCATTCATACACCAGCAACTCCATGGAAGGAAGATGGGGCAATCTACTTCCATAAAGATTTACTGCCTCGGAAACCCAACACAGGTCACTATGAGTCAGGATCGACTTAATGGCAGTGAGTTTGAATTTTTTTGAGTTACTCCTACAAAGCAGAATTCCTTTTATCAATAAAGTGACAAAATGCATTTGGTAGAGATTCTCACATGCTACTGAATAAACTTTCAACTTCTTCAGGGTTATCTACCATTTGAGAACTATATGAACTCACTACAGAAATGAGGCAATAAAAGTAAGTCTATTATATGCAAAAAACCTGAGACAATTTCTAAGTGCCTAAAATGTTTTTTTGTGAAAACAATAATCATATTGTTGTTATTAACAGTGATATTCTTCAAATAGCTATTTTTGAACCCACTTCTCATTCCTATGACTACACATTTTATTAAGGCTCCCAATGGCTAGTTTGAGGACTATCAAATTCACTATTAAAGACTGCATACTTTATAGATAAATGGATGCCTGTTAATATCTCCTTTGCTTTTAAAATTCAGGACACTTATTCACTGTCACTCTAAAATATTCAACAGCAACAAGAAATCATGATACTTACTTCATCCCTATAAAGTGGGCTAGTGTAATACATTATGTCCATTGCACTGCTGTTCAACATATCCCTTAAACCTCGTACTTTGTCAGGAGTAATAGAATCAACAGTGTCTACAAAAAAAAAAAAATAAAATAAATAAACTTACAAAAGATCTCCGTTTAAACAAACTGTGAAAAAAAATTACATTCCCTGAGTAAAAACTCTTTATGTTAACATTTGAATAGCTCTGAGTCTAATAGATCTTTCCTTCTTAGAAATATTTCAGCCAAAAACGGTAAAAGACCACCTTTGGTACTTGTATCTGCTGTAACATTTTTTTCCAGTTTGTGGCTAGTCTTTTATTCTTCTTACGATGTTTATTGATAAAGAAAGGTTTTTAATTTAAATCTCATCAAGTGCACCCGTATGTTACTTTAGAGTTGTGCTTTTCACGTCTTGCTTAAAAATTTCTTCCTTACCCTGAAATTATAAAGATACTCTCCTACATTTTCTTCTAAAATTTTTCAAGTCTTAACTTTCACATTTATGTCCTAGATTTATCTGGGAGGTGGGGTAGGGATCACTTCCATTTCTATCCCCTATAAGGATGCCCAGTCACCCAGCACCCTTTATGGAATAAGCCACCTTGTTACTAATGATCTATCTATAATGCCAGCTCTGCCACATATCAAGTTTCCAAACTATGCAGGTCTGTTTAGGGACTCTTTAGTCTGGTGCACTGGTTTCTTTGCCTATCCCTTTACTAATACTTAACTTTCTTAATTACAAAAGTTAAATAATACAGGTCTATCTCTCTAGCAAGACAGGCCTTTCCTTTCCACCCCCCATTTTTTAGTGTCCTGGCTTATTTTTAGCCCTCTGCACTTCCATAGTTATTCTAGAATCATCATGTCAAGTTGCATGAAAAACTCTATTGGGAATCTGGAATTGCATGGAATCTATAGATCAATTTGTGAGAATTAACATCTCTAGGATAATGAATTATCCAATCTAAGAAAATGATATATTAATTTCAGTTGCATTTAATGTTTTTTAATAGTTTCCTTCATTTTTAACATAATTATACATCTTTCATTAGTTTTCTAAGGACCTTATATTTTTTTATGCTACAATTAGGGCTTCAAACTGGTTCATTCCGGTTCAAGTCTACCTTTGCTGGGAATTTGCATTTCTACCCCAGATAATATTGAATTCTCTGGTAGCATAGTGCCAAAGCACTTGACTACTAACCAGAGGGCTGGTGGTTCAAACCCACCAGCCACTCTTCGGAAGGAAGGTTGGGCAATCTACGTCCGTAGTGATACTGCCTCGGAAACTCAAGGAGGGGTCGCTATGAGTCGGGTCTGACTCCATGGCAAATAACAACAACCACCTCAGATATACTAACCTGAATCTACATTTTAGCAAGATCCCCAGGTCACTGTATAGATCCCACGATATATAAGTATCATTTACATAATAGCCAGGGCTAAGAATATATCTTTTCAAAAATGGCATTTTGCTTTCTGTTAGCACACAGAAATGTAATTACTTTCATATATAGATATTCTATTTCACAACCTTGATAAACTATTAATTTGAATAATTGTATAGTCTATGTAGACAATGATAGAACTTGCAAAAAAAAATTAGATCTTTTTCAGTCCTTATAAACATAATTTCTTATGTTCCTGCACAGGCCAAGATTTCAAATACAATGTTTAAGTGATGATACAAGTAGACATCCATAGCTTGTCCATTTGTAGCCTCACTAAAAATGTGCATGATGATGTGTGTTGTAGGTATTTGTTAGGTACATTTCATTATTTTTAAAATTTATACACAGTAAAATCACCTCTTTTTAATGCATATGTAGATTAACCATTATCATGATCAGGATACAGAACAATCCCATCACCCTGAAAAACTATATGCTGTTCCTTTGAATTCATGAACTATCCCCATCCATTAACCACTGAAAACCACTGTTCTCTGCTCCTATAATTTAGTCTTTTTCAAAATGTCTTTTAAAAATCAGTGGGGTTTATAGTAACAACCCCTTTTTATTTCCTGATGCTGGTCATCTGTGTCTTCTCCTTTTCCCCCTTGAATATTCTTTCTATAGATTCATCAACTTTACTGGTATTTTCAAAGAACCAGCTTTTGGTTCATTTACTTTCTCTATAGCTTTTCTGTTTTTAATTTAAGAGATTTCTGCTCTCTATGGCTGTTCTGGTTACCTAGTGCTGCTCTGACAAGAAATATACCACAAATGGGATGACCTTAACAGACAGGAGTTTATTCTTACAATTTGGAGGCTTTAAGTCCACGTTCAAAGTGCCAGGCTCTAGGGGCTAGGTGAAAGCCCCTCAACTTCGGGGTCCAGCTCTGCCTCCAGCTCCCGGCCCACTGGATCTAGAGGTGTTTCTTTACTCAGACAGCTGCTGGCTGCTGAGGCTGAGAAGCCCCAAGGTTGACAAGTAAAAAGGCACAGTCCCGGTATTATCAAACCACACGGCAGGCCATTAACTTAAGACCATTGTAAGTCCCAACGTCGGCAGAGCACAGCAGGCTGCTGAACGACGACACGGCCGAGCACGCCAAAGGCTAGAGCCCATTCCCAAGGCTTCTCCTTATATACAGGAAGCAGACACATCGCAAAGGCAGCTACTCAGCTGCTTGTGGTAGATCCCACCATGGAGCTGATTGCTAGTCTCATCATGGAGAATAATTACCACCAGCTGCCCAGCCACTCAACCAGGCCCAGCCAAGTTGAAACACAAACGTGACTACCACAATGGTTTTCTTCCTTCTGATTGCTTTAGGTTTATTTTGACATATTTATTTTTTTTCCTGATTTCTTAAGGTTGAAGCTTATTGCTTTGAAACTTATTTTTTAAAAAACATAAGCATTTTATACTATATATTTCCTTCTAAACAGTGCTTTAGCTGCAATCCACAAAGGTTCATGTGCTGTATTTTCACTTTCCTTCAGCTCCAAATATTTTCTTTCCAGTTTTCCTTGTAACTTTTTTGACCCATGGATTATTGAGAAGTGTGCTATTTCGAGTACATGGAGATTTTCCAGCTATTGATTTCTAGTTTAATTCCAGTATCATTAGATAGTCACTTTGCATGACTTCAATTTTTTAAGCTTTATTAAGGTTGTTTTATGATGCAGTATTGTGGTGGGTGTTCCTCATGCACTTAAAAAGAATATGGACTTGGTGGTTTTGGGGTGAAATATTCTACAGATATCAATCAGACCTAGATGGTTGACTGTGCTGTTCAGTGCTTTTATATCCTTGCTAATTTTTCCTATTATTGAGGAAGGAGTGTTAAAATTACACTATGAGAATTATGAATCTGTCCATTTCTTCATTCAAGTCCATCAGTTTATGATTCAGTTACCTTGAGGCTCCATTATTAGAAGCAAATACATTTAGGATTGTTATGTTTTGTGGTGAACAGATCCTTTTATAATAGTATCTTTTTTATCTGGTAAATTTCTTGGCTTTGAAGTTCACTGACTAACCACTTTTGATACTCTTTTTTTCCTACAATAATTGTACTGTCTTTAATTTTTTTAAACACATTAAATATATCTTCTGTATCTGATAACTCAAGATACATGGACTTTGCAGATCAGATTATGAAGTTTGTAGTTTCTATCAATTCTTACTCATAGTGACTTCTTTTCTTACGTGTTCAATGAGTTTAAATTATGAATTCACATTCCTTGAAATCTGTGAGGCCTGAGTTTAACGTATTCTTCAAGAATCTGTGCTTCCTTCTGCCAGGTGCCTAACCATCTGGGATCATTTTTAAGTTATTTGGCTTTCTCCCTCCTAGACACAGGTAGAAAGACTCTGGCACAAATCCAAGTAAAAGCAAGTTTGTCATTAGGAAGTTGTAGATATTTTTCTATTCTTTCTTGTCTCCCTGAGATCCAGGACCAAATGAAGCATGTATCTTTTTTTTTTTTTTTTTAAATACTATTTTCCTTTATTATTTTGGAAACTATGTACCTGATGCATGGACACAGGGCTGAGGCTGCATTCTCTGAAGCACATACTTTACTGTCATCCATTATGGGATGGATTTTTTCTCTCGGACACCACTGAAGCTGTCACCTTACAGGCATCCTGGTATTGTACTGGGGTCTCTAATTCGAATTCTGAACATGCCTGGCCACAGGCTCTGGCTTTTGTTTCCTGTGCTTAAGGTTTATTAAACCCAGACCCTCGGCGGGGGGGGGAAATTTTGGGGCTTGCTTAACTCTCTGACATACCACTTTGAATTTTATTACTTTCCTACAATTTCAATCTTAAATGGAAAAAAGAATTTTAAAAAATAGTTTACCCAGTATTTTTAGGCAAGGTGATACACAAGAGGTATCTCTGATCATGTGTTCTGAAATGTTTTCAGAACTGGAAGTCCCTGATGTGTTTTTGACTTAGGCAAAATTCTAACTGTGCAAAAATCATTCAAAATGGAGACCAATGTTCACTGCAGCATTTTTCAGGATAACTAAAAGGAGGAAACAACCTAAATATACCTCAGCAGATGAATGCATACATAAAATTTGGTATAAATATATATATGCACAATGGAATATTACTTATCTATAAAAAGAAATGAAGTCCTGATACACACCACAACATGGATGAACCTTGAAAACATGCTAAATACATCAGTAACAAAAGGACAAATACTACATGGTCTCACTCACATGAACTAAGCAAATATACTAAGAAATAAAAAATTATTAGTGTTTACCAGGGGTGAGAAGTAAAGGAAAAGACAGTGTTTTTGCTTGGGGGACATTGAGTGCATATCAATAGAGGAACGATATTTTGGAACAAGATAGTGATAGAGGCTGTACAATATAAAGAACATAACCAATGCCATTGAATTGTACATGTGGAAAGTGTTGAACCAGTGACTGTTATGGTGGGTGTATATTTTCACTACAATTAAAAAAAAAAAAAAAACATTTACAATGGGACAAATGCATGAGTCAAGAGTGTCAGTTGCATCTCATCAAATCCAAATGACAAATTACAATGAGTGAAAAAAAATTGCTCTAGACCAAAGAAGAGGTGTCAGCAGCAACAGTTCAAATGTAAAGTTCTGGTATAATTAAAATTAAAATATTATCCTTTGGGCTTTTCCCATATACCCAGATAAATTTGATAGGCTCTCAGAAATATGGACAAAATGAATGACTGAACATTTAATAAAATCCCTGAGTTTATAACTTTAGATTTAAGCTACTGACATAGAATCTTAGAACTGGAAGGATCCTTGGAAATCATTCAGAGACACAGATTAGCACTGTGATGGGCTTTGGAATCATAAAGACCTGGATTCTGCCTATTAGGTGAGCTGAATTCACTTTTTACTTTCAGTTTCCTCATCAGTAAAATGGAGAAAATATATGATAGTTTTGTGAGAAGATTAAACAAGATAATCCATGTACAACACACAGCAGAGTGCCAAGCACACAGTAGAGGCTCTACAAACGGAAGCTGCTAATATGTCCAGTAGAACGCCCTCATTTTCCAGATAATGTAAATAATTAACCTAAATGTTCTATTTTAATGGTTTTAGTATTTAGAGGACACAAATTTCTATAAACAGAGATGCATATTTTGGTTGATACCAACTCTGTAAAGAATGAAACAAAAATGATCTTATTTAGATAAATATGTACAATTTCTCTATGCTAGATTATGATTCATCAACCCAGGGAATGCAAGAGCCAAACAATGAACAAATAAACAAAAGAAAAGCTCTGAGACTTTATCTTCTAAATGTAGGGAAGAAAACATAAACTTACATGGAATTGTGGACTTTTTTTTTTCTTTTTACACTATTAACAAATTATTTTTCTGTCAAAAGATTTAGAAAACATTTTGGTCACTCTTCATTACTTCCTTGCCCTCAAAAAAAAAAAAAAAAAAATCCACAAAAGACATCCATGAAAATAGTGCTATCTATGAAATCCATACAGTGGTCCAAAATGACATAAGTAAATAAAATTATTTTTTAAATCAATCACTTATTATTTTCTTAAATAGTCTAGAACAAAGAATGAGTATACCTCAAGACAACTAAATTGAAGACATTTTGCTCCCAGTGAGTAAAAAGTGTTTTCTAAAATTTTCCATATTACCTTAGTAAAAGTTTGCCATTGACTAAATCATTCAATTTGAAACAAAAGGTACCTCCATCAAGAGTCAGTTTTGACCGCCACTCAACAGGTAAGAATTCAACATGTGTTGCATGCTTGGAGAAATGCTTTTCTTCTATCTTCCTTGCAGCCTCTCTCATCCTAAAAAAATAAAAACAAAACTTTTTCAGAGTAATTTAGTATATGAATTTATATAGTATTAAATTTCCTCAATCATAACACTTCCATTTGTTTATAGCATCCTACTTTGTCCAATTATATTTCAATTACTACTACACTATGCAATAGTTTGCAGCACTTGATAACACTCATTTCAAAGTTATTTGCCATACAGGAATTTCACATTTTTTAAGCTTCCACAATATATTCTAAATAATTATAGATATGATTTTTTTTTATTATAAACACTTTCAAATCTATACAAGAGTATAAAGAATAAATAGCATAATGAACACATATGTGACATTACCCAGCTCCAAATATTGGCAAGTCATAGCCAGTTTTATTTCTATCTATTGTCCTGGTCATTCTCTGCATAATATGTATTTTTAAATTTTATTTTTTTACATTAGAATATAGCAAAATTGATACACACACCCTTTTTTGGTGTCAATTACATGCATTACAACCACAGTCCAAACCAGTTCTTCCCAGTTCAGTTGTGGCTGATGAGTCAGAACTGGAATGGACCCTAATTTGTACAATGTGGGTGTACCAAACAATAACTGGACTAGGAAAAATTATGGGTCAATGCCATGCTAGAAATTTAATCTTGCTCCTAGAAAAGAATGCAGCATGTACACTGAACAGCAAACAAATCTTTGGACGCTCAGAGTTGGAAACAGCGGTGCCTGGCTGAAAGACAGCGGCTGACTGTACTGCTTTGCATGTGTCATCCTCCATAGCCCTGGCAAAAAGCCAGTCTCCAGCACAGCCTCCTGAAAGCGCTCATTATGCCTTTTCTGAGTCTCTCATTTCAGGGCTTCAATTTGTAGATTTTTCCCATTCCGGTTATTGTTCTGGTATGCCCTCATTTTACAAATAAGGGTCTGTTTCAATTTTGCTGTGTTAGCCATGCCTGAACTGGTCTGAAGCCCTGATTTTAACATATGTATATATTCGTGGTTACCATCAACACAATCAAGACACAGAACAGTTCCAACATTCAAGAATACTTCCTTATGCTCTCCTTTTATTATCATATTTCCCCCCATAATATTTTAATTCCACGCATCATAATATTTTATGTGTAAATAGTTTAGTATATACAAGTATGCATCACTGGGCAGCGTCAGTGGTTTGAACCTACCAGTTGCTCCATGGGAGAAATGACTTGGTAATCTGCTCCTACAAAGATTAAAGCCTAGGAAATCCTATAGGGGAGCTTAGCTCTGTTCTTTAGGGTCACTGTGAGTCAGAATTGACTAGATGGCATGTAACAACAACAACAACAAGCGTTTCTCAGAGTCTGACTTTCATTGACTGCATCCCCATGGTATTATTTAACATATTCCTTTGTCCCTTATTTCCTATAAATTGGTACTGAGATCTATGGACTGGATGAGATTCGTATTTTTTCGTATGTTGAACGAATCTTGATTCTGGAAATAAATTTCACTTGGTCATGCACTTGGTCATGGTATATAATCCTTCTTTATACGTATTTTGCTAGATTCAGTTTGCAGGTACTTTGTTGAGGATTTATGCATTTATATTCATAAGTAATACTGGTCTATAGTCTTCTGTGATGTCTTTATTTGATTTTGGTATGAGGGTACTAATTGACCTCAGAATGATCTGGGAAATCCTCCATTACCTAGATTTTGGAAAAGTTTGTGAAAAACTGGTGTTTCTTAGACATTTGATAGAATTTGCTATGAAGCTATCTAGGCTTTTTTTTTTTTTTAAAATTGGTGTGGCAGTTTGATTATTGATTTTAAATCTTTACTTGTCATAGCTCTATTTAGATTTTTTTGTTTCTTTTTGAGTCATTTTGGTACTCTGTCTTTCTAGGAATTTGCCTGTTACACCAAGTTTATCTAATCTGTTGGTATATAATTGTTCGTAATATTGTCTTATTATCCTTTTATTTCTGTAAGGTTGCTAGTAATGTCCCTTCTTCCATTCCTAGCTTTAATAATTTGAGTCTTTTCTCCTTTTTTTAATGTCACTCTAGCTAAAGGCTTCTCAATTTTATGAATCTTTACAAAGAACTATAGTAATATACGGGAGCTCTGGTGGCGTAGTGCCTAAGGCATTTGACTGCTAACCAGAAGACCGGCAGTTCAAACTCACCAGCCACTCCTCGGAAGGAAGACTGGGCAACCTAATTCCGTAGAGATACCGCCTTGGAAACCCAAGAAGGGGTCGCTATGAGTTGAAATCGATTCAACAGCAGTTTTTTTTTTTTTTAAATAGTAATATACAGAGATCTCCCTCATTGCTTTTTACAACTTCATAGTACCCCATCAAATGGATAGTAAGTATAGCTTACTCAACCATTCTTTTATCAATGATTATTTGGGTACTTTTGTATTATAAATAATGCTGTAATAAATAGCCTTATGCATATACATACATACATACATATATACATATATGTGTGTGTGTGTGTATATATATATATACAATATATATATATATTTGTAATTTTGCTGATATTATCTTTGAGACATATTCCTAGAAGTATTAGGCTTGCTGGGTTAAAAACAATGCATATGTAATCTTGACAGATAGTTATATTCTCCTTCACTTCGTTTCACCAGCAGTATGAGACTGCCTATTACCTACAGCTTGGCTGAAAGAGTATGATGTCCAACTTTTGAATATTTTGCTACTTTGATAGGCAAGAAACGGTATCTTGGTGTAATTTTAACATACATTTTGTGAACAACGTTGAACATTTTTTCATATTGTTAGGGGACATTTGGCCTTTTTCTTGGCATTAATTGTTCACATCTTTTGCCCATTTTTCTACAGAGTGGCTAGGCACTTTTTCCTTTATAAGTTCTTTATATATTAGAGATAGTAATCTTTTATCTGTGATACAAAGTTGCAAATATTTGTCCTTTCCTTTTCTTTGCCATTGTATGCACTTTAAAAAATGATCCATATTATCAATATTTTCCCTTATTGCTTCTGGATCAAGTCACAGGACAGTTTTCTCTATTCCCAAGGTACTGAAGAATCGCCCTCCTATCCCAATTGTTAAACTCCTAGTACCTGCGTAGTTTCAATTCTTACGTTTAATTGAGATCTGACTGATATTTACCCTAGTGTGAGGGATGGGTCCAACTCATTTTTTTTTTTTTTCATATGGCTATCTAGTATACCAACCCTATTTGTTAAAATGTTATCTTTCCCTATCTCCATATCCAACATATCTTAAAAGGCATTATTTAAAAATATGAATACGTTTTACTGATTGTATAGCCCCAAAGTTGACATTTAAAAAGTCTAACTAAACAGATTCTGAATTGCTGAAAAGAATACCTGCATCCTTTATTGTCACAATACAATGATAGTCCAAAATCTGCTTGAGGTTCAGACTCCAGACCTCTTTATTACCCACAAAGCCTAAAGTTCCTTGTTCACAGCAAGTACTCCAACCATTGTTCCAAATACACTTTCTAAGCTTCCCTGCCATCATTTCAAATGCTCACTTTTGATGAATATGAGAATATGCAAGAAAGAACATACTGAAGATTTCTAATATTTTACTACACACTTATTCATTTTTGATTGCTGTAGAATATTTACATATTTCATTGTGTTATAATTATTAGAAAGTTGTATATGTGATATTGAAAGAATTGATACACACAAAAAAGGTCATTCAGTTTAGTGGTATTCAACTAAGGGCAATCCCCACCTCCAAAAAAAAAGGGGACATTTGGCAATGTAAGGACATGTTTTTGGCTGTCACAATTCAGGAACTGTTAGAAGTGAGAATGGCCAGAGTTCATCTTACCTACTTTGGTCATGCTGTCAGAAGGAACCATTCCCTGGAGAAGGATATTATGCTTGGTAAAGTGATAGGTTAGCAAAAAAGAGAAAGACTCTCAAGAAGATGGATTGACACAGTTGTTGCAATGTTGTACTTCAGCATAGCAAGGATTGTGAGAATGGCGTGACTGGGCAGTGTTTCGCTCTGTTGTACACATGGTTGCTATGAGTTGGAATTGACTCAATGGCACCTAACAACAACAACAACAACAACATCTGCAGCTAGTGGGGAGAGGCCAGGGATGCTGCCTGTGAAACACTGTACAATGTACATGACAGACCTCCAAAACAAGGAATTATCTGGCCAAAAATGTTAACAGTGCCAAGGTTAAGAAATACTGATAGTGCTGAGTTATAAACGCAGAAATACTGTATTACCTTAAAACAGTATCCTTTTCCAGGGCAAACTCACACAATCTTCAATTCCACAGGATCACTATCATAACTATGAAATAGTCACATAAGTAGATACTGATTAGGCAATTAGATATGTTCCTGAGTCACTTGGTTGTAATAACTGGAGGAACTATTTTTTAAAAAATAGAAAGGGGAAAAAGGGCAGAGGAGAGAAGATAATGAGGGAGGAAGAGAGACAGCGTGATTGACTGACTGATTTGTGGCTACATCCCCAAATCTGCCTTCTCCAAAATGGTAAAATATATTTCCTAAGTTTGTAAGTCTTGACTCCATGAGAAACAGAGACCAATGAGGGGAATGGAAGAAATGAGAAAAAGGGATGATTTTAAAACACTATACCTCAGAGTATGGCTTATTATGCAGCTACACTGCCATGCACAAAATTGGTGGCACAGTGGTTAAATAATTGCCTGTTAACCAAAAGGTCTGCAGTTTGAAGCTACCAGCAGCCGATCCGCAGAAGAACGATTGTAGCAGTCTGCTTCCATAAAGATTTATAACCTTGGAATGCTACGGGGCAGCTCTACTCTGTCCTATAGGGTCACCATGAGTCAGCATCTATTCCATGGCAACAGGTTATAAGGTTACTACACTTACATGCTCTCCTGTTGGTCAATGCATGTTTAATTCATATTTTGAAGAGGGAAGGGAGAGAGTAATAGCACCTGAGAATTTCTGTCCAATTAAGGATAAATAGGTCTGAAAAAATAAGTCTTTATAATTCTCAGTCAGAAAAAAAGCAATTGATAAACATAATAGTTCTATGAATTACATACAGAGAAAAGGGAGGGAAATAGAAATCATGAGTAATAATCTCCAAAATATGTATTTTTAAACCAAAAGGCAAAGTTCAGAAAAGCATGTACATTATGCCACCTTTTGTGTAAAAAAATTTATAGTTGCCTGAAAAAACTCTGGAAAGGTATAAAATAAATGAATAACACTGTTTTGAAACACAAACATAAAGGGTAAATAGAAGAAGTTGGCAACAGGCATGGAAATGAGGCTTTCAATCTAGACATTTTTATATTTTATTTATAAAGAATGTGAATGATTACCTATTCAAAAAAATAAGCTTTTTGACATTCTTGTCTGCTGTTGTCTCTCCCACTCTTTTTGTACTTACAGAGTTATGCCTTCTTTCTTTTTAAAATTCCTTTGCTATCATTTCTAATGAGGTTTCAGGAGGGAGTAAGATAAGTTTATATGTCTGACCTGCCATGTTTAACTCAAAGTCTCTTTACACTCTAAAAATCATAGTTTTAAAATCACTGATTTATGGAATTACATATATAACTTCAATGAAGATTTATCTTACACTGAACTCCACAATAAGTAACTCCAATTGGATTACAAATATATTCATCCCTCCAGTAACCCAATTCTGATATTCCCAGAAAATTGTCTATAAGCTTTCAACCTACGTAAATATAAACATGCTGTATTGGAACAAAAATGAAGAAAGTAAGTTTAATTATATTAGCAAATTTACTAAAATAAAATGAAAGGGAGGGAAAATCTTCTATTTCTAGGCATCTGAGAGATACTTTCAAGAGATCCTCAGAAAATAGAAGGTTGCCAATGGAGTGGGGTACGGTAAACCCTTATCTACTTGTTTATTTCAACTGCAGTCTTATCAATCAAATCAAAAGCATGAATGCTTCAGAATGGCACTGACAGGGACAAAGTGAATTTTATCTTCTTCATTGTCCTGCTAACCTAAGAATAAATACTAGAAAGTAGGAAAGGGTGGGAAATCTCCTTGATTTTCTTCTTACTAAGCAGAATTCCTTTTTGTTTGAATGGAAATCTCATGGGGAATTTTCTATCAAATTAACCTGACTCTAAAGGAATGATGGCAAACCTCCTTGTAGTATATGCTTGACTTTTTTTTTTTTTTGAGCCACCTTTCCTTCATTCACTGTACTTCTAATAAGTTGTTGACTTTTATGTGTGGTTGTAATGAAGGCTACTTCCACCTGATTAAAGGGTAGGAATATGACAAGTATGGCCAATCAGAAGCTGCATCATTGCCACACGGACAGACTCAGGCAGTGGAACTGACCCAATCAGTTACTGAAATCATAGACTAGCTGGGCCTTCTGGGAAGAAAAAGGCTTATTCTTTTTTTGGAACACAATGGAATATAAGATCTAGAGCCACTGTATCTGGAACCATAGGAGGTATCCAAAAATAACTTCAAAATGAAGGAGGGTAGAGCAGATAGGTAATGGGTTCTGATGACTTGTTTGAGCAGTCTCTTGAGTTACTAAATCCTCTTTTTGGCTTAGTTTTCCTAACCGAAATCAAATAGATACATTCTCTTTTATCAATAGCTCTAAATCTAGTTAACATGCCACCAAACCTAGTTCTCAGGTTCTTAGATATACAAGCAAAAAACTTGCCTTCTGACAGAAGAATATGAATATAATGGGAAATAATGTATAACTCACCAAAACATTAAATCAGGATCAGAGAGCAGAGATTCCTGTAACATGAGCTATGGAAACTGACAAGGATCAGGGTGGCCTGGCAGCCTTTGACAAAAGTTTTTTGCTTATTATTTAAGATGAATTATACTTCTATCTTATTCTTTCAGCTGGTATTAAGGATGTTACACTAAAAAGTCAAACAAACTCAACACTATTATTATAGAGATGTTGTTGAGGACATAGTGATGGTATCACATGTTGTTACATTCATCTGAAACTTGAGAAGAACCAGATAAACTACTTCTCACCTGCAACTGGTTTGTTTTCATCACATCATAAATCCGTAACTGATCAGAGTGTTCTTTATACTGGCTGCTAGCTCAGAGAGAAATTTGTAGAAATCTTAATATCCTAACATTCCCTTCTAACACAACTCTATATTTTCATAAAACACAGTCACACACAAGAATAATATCTTAAACAGTTTTTAGAATAAAGTTGAGTATAAATAAATCAATGAGGTAAATAACCTATCTGACGAAGCAATTAACTAGACAGGTTAAGCTGCCAACCAGCAATTTAATAAATTTTTAGCAAGATTCTCAATTTCTGTAGTTCAGATAATACAATACAAACTAAAAACTAGATCTTTTTCTTGTTTTCAACTTCATTTCAATATAAATTAATCCAGCAAGTTTAAAAAAGATTTCTCATTCCCTTCTCTAAACTGTTCATGTGTGTGTGCATATGTGGCGGGGGGTGATGGTGGTGGTGGCAATCAAACAAACAATAAAATCATCTAGATATAATTACTTTCAAAATTTGGTCCAGAAACTTGATCTATAACTTGAGAGATATAAAGTAGTTGGCACTAGAGAAACACAGTAGAATGATTACACCATTTATTACTACTTGCTACACTCTGGACAAAAGTTTGGATTCTAGACCAGATACAGAATGTATGCATCAAAGAACTCACATGGCTGTATTTTTAATAATTCTTCCTTGGTCCATTTTCTGCCCAATGCCATGCACAACAAACACAATATGGGTAGTTTGAGATGGCTTGTCTTCTAATGTGGCTTCTTCTACATAACCTCTATGAAGTCTGGTCCCACTACTTGATGCTGTAGAAAAATTACGATTCTAAGTTTACTATTTTAGTCTGAGAAATAATAGTATTTTCACAGTATGTTGAAAGAAGAAAAGTAGCAAAAGGAATATTAAGAATAACTGAGTGGGGAATAAAATTTGTAAAATAATATACATGATCAGCTAAGTTATAAAGTGCTAACCTTGACATGACAGCAAAGTCAGAACTCATAGGAAAAAGACAAGGAAGGAAGGACAAATTGAATATATAAAAAATTAAAAACTTCTCCATAAAAAAATACTATGAAACCAAGATAAAAAAAATGGCAAAGTGGGAAAATTTTTGTAAAACATGACACACAGTAAGTCAATCAACTACAAATTCAAAGGGAGCTTACTAATCAAAAAGGAAAAAGACAGTGCTCGCTTTGGGAGCACATATACTAAAAAGTAAAAAGATAATCATTCAAATAGCAAAGTGGATTATAGATATGATCAGATCATTCACAAAATAAAAAACACAACTGATTAATATACATATAAGACCTTTAAGCACATCTGTAATCAAAGAAATTAAAATAAAAAATGAGATAGTAAAAATTATACCAGACATAATAATAATAACAATAATAATAATAAATTGATAATGCTTTCACATCTTCTCCAGGTACCATTCTCTCATTTCTTTCAATCAACCCTCTTTGAAGGGCTGTCTATCCTCACTGCCTACACATCCTCACCCTCTACTTAAGCTTCAGCCCATGCCAATCTGGCTTCTGCTCCATCAATCCATTTAAAGTCATCAATGACCTCCAAATCTGATGGGAAATTTTTTCTTAACACTGTTTCAATTGATGTTTTATTTTCACATCACGGTTTCAGTTTGACTGCTTTTATGTTTTTAAAAGTATCCTGTCAGATCACTCTAATACTTAATTATTCATTGATGAATACATGTCAATTAAATCATCATAAACGTTTAAAAGAAGAGTAACTAATAGTAAGCTTAACACATATTTAAAATATCCTTTAGGAACTCTGGTGGTGCAGTGGTTAAAGCATGCAGCTGCTAACCAAAAGGTAGGGGGTTTGACCCACCAGTCACTCCGTGGGAAAAAGATTTGGCAGTCTGCTTCCGTAAAGATTTACAGCCTTGGAAACCCTATGAGAGTTCTACGGTCCTATGGGGTTGCTATGAGTTGGAATTAACTCGACAGCAGTGGATCTGGTTTTGGTAAAATATACTAAAAACTAAATTTATATTTTTGGACATATAAGAAAAATGATAATTACCTTTAGAAAACCCCAGTTTTTGAGTAACTGTTCTTGCAATTTTAGATGTTGTTGCATCACTATAAAGGTATACTTCATCAACACTGTGCCAGTCCACATGGTTTCGACTCAACTTGAAACTATGAATAGCTGTTACAAAAAGGAAAAACTAATTTGAAGGTTTCCAAGACAAACTTCATTTGTGTGAAAAATTATAAAACACAAATTTTTATATCAATATTATCTAATCCACTTAGATATTTAACTCAGTTCAACAGAAAACTATTTCATTGAAACACATATTTATGTGAAGCAAGTTACAGGTAGAACTTTATAAGTGATTAACCATGTTCAAGGAATGACAACTTGTTAAACATGGAGTGACTAAATTATCAGTACTTATCAGCATGACCACATTAACTAACATTCTAACCTGTAACACAAAGTCAGTATGTGTTCACAAATCAGTATTGATTCTTAAAGAAGTGCTTTTGTAGGTTGTCTGACAGTTCCTTAGGTTTAAGGGATATGAAGTAACTGATAGTTTTCAATAGCTTGGACCCAGAAACCTAAGTTTCATTTGTTCTATTGATTTTACTAGCTTAACTATATTCAAATATCTGTGAAAATTCTGCTCAAGACAAAGTAAGACTTAGAGGGGAAAAATTATCTTTAAACTGGGAAGAGAATAATCTAATTTATTAGAGTATGAGGCATTTTTAGAAGGGCTATTAAAGCTAATTATTACTGGGCTTTGCTCACCACAGCAGATATTTTAATAATAAGAAATTAAAGCATTTTTTTCCTATCATGACATTCAAATCAATATGGTTATTCATTTCTGTAACTGAGGTTGGGGTATGCTTTGTGAAAATGAGTTCTTAAAATAAATAAATAAATCCTTAGGAGGGAGCTCTGGTGGCGCAGTTCCTAAGGCATTTGACTGCTAACCAGAAGGCTGGCGGTTCAA